AAAAAGAGTGTATAAAAAAGTTGAAGAACCAAAACGGTGTAAAACACTAAACTTGAGGGACCAAAATTCACATTTAACCTTTTCTTTTTTGCTGGCCAAGGCTGTGTTTCTAGTTTTATGGATTGTACTTTATGAATAAACGATTGTATATGTGTGTGTATGTGTCCTCTAGGGGAATAATTCTTGAAACAGGGAGAAATTTGAAGAAAATGAGTTATTCCTTGTTGTATGTTAAAAAAATTATACTTGTATGTGTGGTAAAGTACTAAGAAAGAACCATGAATAAATTGAGATAAAGATATATGATAAACTTGTCAAAAATTTCAACAGCAGTTTTTCAGAGGAAGTATAAACAGCAACACATTTTTAATTTTGGTTGTTTGTTTTGGAAATTAAGGCTAAGGTTGTGATTTTGAGTTTTTAATCATAAATTTCATAATTTTTAAAAACTAAAATTAAAGGTAAAAAACTAACAACTTGTTTAAAATAAGTTTTAACACAAAAAAACAAAAAATATAAATTTATTTAATAGTATTCGAACTATTTTTGTCTTTACTCATTTAATAATTATAATAATATGTTACAAAAAATAAATGAAAGTAAATAAGTTTTTTTTTTAATTGTAAAATATATAGAAACCAAAACTAAAAGATAAAAGCCACAACCTTCTTATTAAATGGAACCTTGCTAAATTTTTTGTTTTAGATTTTGGTTTATAGTAGTTTCATTATCAGGGTAGCTAAATTTTTGTTAACGAAACAAATAAACAGGAAAGAAGGTGCTAGGTTAAATGTCAACTTTAGTATCTCAATTTTAAAATTTTGTATAGTTTTTGTCTCTCAACTCTTTTATACATATTTTGGTTTTCTCAATTATGAAAAATATGTTTGTTTAAGTCTTCTATCAATAAGTCAATTAAGTATATTCATATATAGACATTTTTAGTTCCTAAACTTTAAAGTGACAAAAGTGTGCATATGTTATAAGTTGAGATATTAAAAATATACCTATTTAGATAAATTTAATGGATTAATTGATAAAAGAATTAAAAAAATATTTTTCATAATTGAGGAACAATAAAATATATAAAAAAAAGTTAAGAGCAAGAACTATGTAAAGCCTTAAAGTTGAAAGATTAAAATTCACATTTAACCGATGTGCTATTAACCGGCAATATGGGATGATAAATTTGGGATTTCTTTAATCCAAAATTAGTAAGAGTTAAGGCGATTCACTGAATTCCAAGGGCTTAATTGAGGTAAAGACAAAGGATTTTAGAGGCTTGGCAAGTGAGCCACATGAGTCTCAAATAAGGTTTTTTTATTATATAATAAAAGGTAATTTTTTCTTCTTTTTTTTTAACTCAATTCTCATTTATGTGTTATATGACTCAATTTTATATATATATATTTTTTGACAATTGAAATTACATTAATATTGTTAATATCTGTTTAAAGGGGAGGGAGAAATGTCGAGCACCGAGCTCGACCTGAAGAACAAGGTGCCCCCACTTTGCTTCTCAAATGAGAAGCGTGGCCACTGAGTCACATAGTGGTGAACTTACTCAATTTTAATATTTATTATTTTTATTAAAAAAATTATCATTAAATTATTTAAGTTATTGATAAAATAAATTAATTAAATATAGAATAAATTAATACGTACCAAAACATTATAGAAAAAATTAGTTTAACTAATTATTTCATTAAAAAAATAGAAATTAACATATCTTTGCATTAAAATACCACAACATTCAATCATGGCTAGATGATAAATGGGACGTAAATAAAACTCATAGTAAAATAAGTAATGTCAAAATTTCTTGATTTTTTGTGTTTTCATTTTATAAATGCTCGCAAAGATTAGTGGAAAATACAAGCAGAAACTATAATATGAAACGTGATCCACATTCGTTTCTCCTTTTAAACAAAGTTGTTGAATAACAAGTATCAATTACCTCTTTTTCTGAACAATTTATCAAGAGCGGGTTCGAACCCACCAAGAAAAAGAGAGTGCACCTCAAGATAGCCGAAAGCACTTGATCCGAAGGATCAGGTGCGAATTACCTCTTTTTCTTTTCTTGTTTTTTTCTTCTTTTCCCTTGCTGAATAACCAGATACGTGGGAGCTAAACAAAAATCATGCGTAAAACATATCTAGCTTTACCCTAACACCCATTAATAAAAAACATAGAATAAATAATTACCTAAATAGTTTAGTGGTAATTTTTTTAATAAGATAAAAAATTTTAAATTTAAATTATATAACAAACAGGTGTAATACATTAATAGATGGAGAGTTTCATTATTAGTCAAAATTAAAATTAAAAAAAAAACAAAAAACAAAAAACAAAAACATTTAAAACACTTAATGCATGTTTTTCATTTTAAATGTTGGGGATGAGACTCAAATCCCTTACCAAACTAAACATGGGAAATCTTTTAAAAGAGAGAGATAGCAACAGTCCACGAGGACGGTCTCGAAACACTTAATGCCTATTTGGTTTGGACTTTTCTTGTAAAAAAGGAATTTAGGGAAGTCAAGTTTATAAAATGGAACACGTTGTACAGGAAAATAAAACTTTTTGATACACATCCCAATGAAACAGTATAACCAACATAACTTTTATAAAAGCACGGGCTTAACTTAAGAAATCATTTATTAACTATTATTTTTGTTTTATTTTAGTCTAGAATCTTTGTTTTCTTTCAAACTCATTTACTAACTTTCAAAATTGTTTCATTTTCATCTACTTCTATGCAACTTCGTTAACTACATTGGCAGAACTTCTCAATTCTAATTGTGTGGTGCCATGAAAGCCACTGTATGGCCCACTTAAGCTAACATGTGGCCTAAAAAATGGGAGGGAAATATTCTCATTTTCTTATTTAAAGTTAAATGCTTAATTTAAAAAATGGGTAGTAATATAGGGATAATTTTTTTATATAATTTTTGTATAATTTTTTATATAATTTTTATGTCATTAAATAAATAAATATACTCAATATCAAAAATTACAAATGAATACAAAAAGTCAATCATTTAAATAACATATAAAATTATACAAAAAATAGTATAAAACAATTTTTTGAATTTTTTTATAAAAATAATTAATTATAGTGTAAAAAATTAAAACCACTAACTGAACTTAACACAAGAATTTAAACAAAAAAAAAAACCTATAAAGTTTCAAACTAAACCAAACTTATTCAAAAATATTTAGAAATAATTTTTTATATTATTTTTTTTACACTTTTATATGTTATTTAAATGATTGCCTTTTTTTTTTATTTGTAACCTATGATATTGAATACATTTATTTATTTAATAACAAATAAAAGTTATATAAAAGATTATACAAAAAATTATATAAAAAATTATCCCTATATTCTCATTTTTTAAATTAAGCATTTAACCTTAAATAAGGAAGTAAGAATATTTCCCTCCCTTTTTTTAGACCACATGTTAGCTTAAGTGGGTCACACAGTGGCTTTCATAGCACCACACAATTAGAATTAAGAAGTTCCGTTAATTTAGTTAACAGAGTTGCATTAGGGGTAGATGAAAATGAAACAATTTTGAAAGTTAGTAGATGAGTTTGAAAGAAAACAAAGATTCTAGACTAAAATAAAAAAGAGTAATAGTTAATAGATGATTTCTTAAATTAAGCTAAAATCACGTAATCGATCATTGTTCCTAGTAAACAATATAAATATATTGCCAACATAACCAATTACATGTCATGGATCAAACAAACAACAATTGTGCCTTGGCTTCCCCAAATTCTCTACTTGGAGAGGTGACCAACCAAACAAGCCCTTAGCGAGAAATGGACTTTTAAATTTCTAAACATTCTTTCAACAGCACATGTTTATTAAGTAGAAAATTTCTCGTAGATTAGTAGAATAGAGTTGGCATTTTTTTTTTTTTTTTTGTTCTAGATTGTGAAATAAAGAGACTATTAATTAGGGAAGGACACCCTCCAATCATGAATCCACTTTTTTTTTTTCGAGTTGTAAAATGAAAAGCAATTTTTTTTATTATTTAATTAATTATACCTGTACGCCATACAATATGGATTTAAAACTTTACTTTCATGGAAAGAAAAATGAAAATTACTATTAAAGTGCTTTAGTTGTTGGCCATAAGTCCATCGACATTGATTGTTAAAGTTATGCGTTAAATTGCATTGCATAACACTTTTTTAAATTGAATAAATGATAATGATTTTTTTAAACAAAACATCAATTATTTATTTATAATATTTTATACAATGTGATATGATATTAAACAAGAAGATATTTATTAATTCACACCTTTAACTAAATTAAAAGAGTCCACCACAATAATATATTTAACTTATGTCACATATTATATAGAACATTATAAGGAGATACATTTAACTAAATCATTTTTTCATGAAAAAATAAAATAAAAATGATATAAGTACAATGGTTGTCTAAAATGATTTGAACAGTTTGATGTTTGGCATTTTATAATTAATTTTTTTTCAATTTATTCACGATTCGATGTATCTACTCGCTTAACCAGACTTAATTTCAACATGATATCTGTGCTGTAATGAACAAAGCTTGGGGCACTCGCCTCCTGCACTCTCCGGCCAACACTTTCTCTTTTATTGGGCCACGTTATTTCGGTTTCCGAGAAGTTACTCCTGAAAGCTTTAAAGAAGCTTCGTGGCCCAATGAAAGGGGAAGTGTTGGCCGGAGAGTGCAAAAAGCGAGTGCCCCTAGCACTGCTCATGATGTAATTGCCAAAGCAAGGTAACCACATTCATTACGCGATTCTCAATCAGTTTTCCTTTTGGCAAAGTTGTTCTTAAAGATCACATCTTCCACGGTCCTTGACAAAAGTACTGATTGTCTACTCCATACACTCCTTTGGTAAAGTATCATTGATGGGGACAATAACAAAAAAGAAGACAAATCTGCAGAATAGTCTGTCTTCTAAAGTGGCAAAAGAACATTAGTAGAACAGGGAAGAAGGTTGTGTGTTAAGCTTAACTCGAGGTGCCAAGGGACGAAGCACGGTTCTCTTGCAGCTACCGCAGGCTGTCATGTGATAGATGCATAGGCGTGCATAGGATCGGTATCAACAAGTATTTCTTATCTCCAACCAAAACAAACAATTATGTGTAACATAGTACAGAACATGCAAAACGCTTTCATTCACACCTACGTTAGTAAAAAAAACTAAACAAAAAACATTCCAAACACTCGCAAAACTGGGTTTTAATTTCTATTTCTATTGGGAAAGCAGGCATTTGCCAAGCATGATAGAGTCAATCACTTACAAACCAATAAAATATTGCCTACTCTTTTCTATTTCTTCTTCCTCTCACACACAACCAGTTTGTGCAGATTCACAAGCATGAAACCACAAAACCCATTACCACATGCTTACACTAAAATTGAAGTTGCAGAAGTTAAAAGAGAAAAGGGAGCTTTTTTTTTTTTTTTTTAATCCTCAAATTAAAGAAAGAAATCAGAGAAAACAAGCAAGAATGCACAGAACCTAACAGTACCTACAAAATATTAGGGAGCTGAGAGTCCAATCTCTGTTGCAATTCCTTTATCACCAAAGAAAGCTCTGCTTTGTGTTCCTTGTAATTCTGCAACAGATAATCCTTTTCTTCTATCACTTCTTTCAACTCTCCTACTCTTTTTAGCATCTCAATTCTGTCATCATCACCCCTTCCCTTTACAGAAAACTCAAAGTTGCTCTCTCCAACAACACATCCATTTGCATGACCATTTTGTAACTCAGATGGCCAATCCATGGCTGTCGAAGTCTTCTCATTGCTACCAGCATGTCCCACACAGTGATCTGCAATTGCCTTCCTCAGCCTTTGGATCTCTCTTTCAGAATCAAACAAGTCCCTGTTCGCAGCATCAAGTTGTGACTGCAAGTTATTTGAGTGTGCCAACTGAGCATTCAGTGAATTCTGCAGCTCCACAATCTGATCCTGCATCTCCAGAATCATATCATCTCTTCTCTTCAGTTGATGCCTTAGCTTCTGTATCACTTCACGCTTGGAGAATATATCAGAACCAGATTCTGAGACACATGGAGAGTCTGAGCAGTTGCTATGGTGGAATGGCTTTGGAGGCAACTCAAGGCGATCAGGAGATGATGCCCAAATAATACCATTCTCCCTGTTGAACTCAGGGGCAGGGACTGTCACCAAAGGTAGAGAAATATCAGATTCAGACAGCATCCGGCCACTGGGTGAGTGCTTCTTCCCCATGCTTTCAGTTCCTATTCATAACCCATGCATGTAAGAAACCAACACATTGAAGAGAAAAATTGCACCTAAAAGGTAAATAAACAGCTTACATTCACAATCAGGAGGCTATCTGACCACATATCTTTAATTAGTGAATGAGAAAAAAGAGTTTAAACTGTTGACAGAAAAGAATTTGGGGACTACATCAACTTCCAATTTTCAAGTGAACCTCTATCTCTCAATATGAAAAGCAGAAGAAACAAGCAAAGACAACTAAGTTTACAACTTAATTTTCTAACTATCAAGTCAAGGAAGCATTAATACTGGTAAGTTACATGATTAAGGAAACTAGAATGGGATAATTCTGGGCGAGGTAAAAAAAAAAAACGACATAGGATTTCAGAACAAATTTCTTCCTTCACCTTTATTCTCAATTCCCTTTTTCTCTTCCTCTACACAGCCAAAAGAAAAAGGCAAACAGATAGCATTGCAAGCTAAAAGACAGGTATCAGGTGCAAATATCCTCAAGTCCCCTTTAATCCAAAAATGCAAGGCTCAGAACTAAAACTATTCCTCATCTTTTTCCCAGGGTTGTGCAAATTACAAACAATGACGACAAAACATTATACCTGAAATGCAGTTGAAGCAACCATCATCATCCTGTCTAAATGAATACATGTTTGAATGTAAACGGCAACCAGCTGATCTCCTCTCACTCTCAGAAGTTCCATTCCCTGCAGTGAACTCTAAATATCAGGTGCAGTTATATTTCAATGATAACATTTACTGATGCAATAAAAAATCATAAACCTTGTAAGCTTTTAGTAGCATTGTTCGGTTGCTTTGAGTCAAGTGCCTGTTTCAGCTTGTAACCCAGACGGATTGTTAAAGTACTTAACAAAGCACTGCCAGCAATAAGAATCCAATTTGACCCCTCAGCCTGAAACCCTTTTGGTTTCTGACCTCTTGAAATCCGACTGCTTCCAGTAGTCATTTTACAAGCAAGTGTTGTGTTGGATAGAAAAACTCTGAATCATCTGAATATGACCTACATTGACAATGCACCGAAACTCCACCTCTATCTATATGGTGGACAAATTAGCTAAAATTGAATGGTGATGGAAGCAATAACTCAACAGACTTCACATTATTCACTACAGGGAAAGAAAATGTCTTACGAGTGCAATGTGAACAAAAAAACTCTGCCACTATTAAATAATATCATTATCAATCCATTCAACAGAAATGGCAGAATTTTCCGACATGTTAACTCAAAAAAAAAAAAAAAAAAAAAACTAATATAACAATTTTTTTATTACTGAAAAGAAAAGGGGAATATAAATCAACAGATGATTTATACGCGAGATTAATTCAACATGTACTTGACTTCATACCCCCATGACATAACCCATAAAATATTTCACACATTCTTTCACATGCACACAGCAGATTAGATTATAAAATCAAAAGGTCTCTGACATGTTAAAATTTACTCCCCACCAAGAACTCCATCCCCAACTTCCATGGATTCGAAGTTATTTTAACTTAACAGAACTTGGAGAACGCCCTAATGAAAAATCAAACATTTCTCCCAAGAATGCAAAAAAATACTCAAATATTATGAACTCTTGATGTCTTCCTCTCAGTCCCAAATTCACAAATAAAAATCACAAAATACATAATTCAACACATCGATGCAGCCAAACAAAATCTCATGAAATCACAAAACAAAACTACCATAATCAGAAAAAACAAGCAAAAAAGAGAGAAAGGGGGCAGCAACCACAGACCTAGAGAGAATGAGGAAAAAAAAAAAAAAAGTAAAACCGAGGACTCACCGACGATGAAATCAGCACACTTAGGCAGGAAAGCAACGTCCTGAACAGCGGCGACAAAAACCGAGAGGGAGAAGAAGATATTCGATGAATCGGGTACAAGGGAGGTAGCGGGCTTGAGAGAGGGAGGAGCAGCCCGATGACCGGCGCACAGTTAAGCCCTAACTACTAGAGTGCATTAAAATTACGCTTTGATATTCACTCATACGAAAAAGTCAAAAATATCCATCTTTTCCAGAGAGAAAGACTGGTTTGTCGAACGAAGTAGCATTTTCGTAAGACCTGTTAGCATAAATAATTTAATTTGAAACCGTTATAAATTAATTATTTGGTAAAAATTTTAATTTAATAATGAAAAATGATTTTGGAATAAATTTTTTGTATTATCTTTTTATATATTTAATGTGTTATTTAAATAATTGGTTCTTTTAATTTACGTGAGACACGTGATATTGAATGTATTCACTTATTTAATGACATATGAAAATTGTATAAAAATATTATATAAAAAGATTATCTCTATAACTTTGTCTTTTAATAATTTGTAAAAACTAGATAGTAATTAGCTGTTTAAATTATTAATAAATTGAAAAAGCTAACTTAAATAATTTTACATATTTAAAAATATTATATTTTAATTATTTTATGAACAATTATTAAGAGTAAAGATCTATTTACACAAAAGTTTTATACATTATATTTACACAAAATCTCAACAATTCATTTCTCTACTTGTAATAGTTGATAATTATTCACATTTATAAAAGTAATTATTTTTTTATTTAAAAAATCATATAAATCTCAATTCTTGAAAGTAAAGAGATGAATAATCAAAATTTGGTATAAGTGGTATAAGTGTGATGTATAAGACCTGTGTAAATAGATCTTTCCTCAATTATTAGATTAAAAATTTTATTTATATAGATCATGCAGGTTGATTTTCAAATTAATTCAATATATCTAACTAGTTTAATGATTATAATGAGGATGATCCATATCAATACTGACTCAAAAAAATATGAGTCCCAAATTTAAAAACACTACTCTCTAATGAATATATTCAAAAACCAATTATTAGATTTAAAATTTTATTTAGATAAATTTTTAGTTGATTGAATATATTTAACTAATTCATTGATTATATAAAATTTTAAAAGAAGATTACTTCAAAATTATGTAATTTCAATAAACTCTCATTAAAAAAATCTAAAATACACTATTTTTAAAGTATGAGTTAGACTATTATTAGTCTTTTTTTACTGTACTAATCTTTCTCTCTATATATATGTATGAAAAAATTGTTTATCAACCGTACATATAAAAAATTTAGTAGAAAAATAAGCCAAAATTATAACATTTTAATAAATTCTTATTTAAAAAATAAAATATCTTAGTTGTTAAAACAAAAACTAAGTTATTTTATTTTTTTCTCACAGTACTTTATTAAAATAACATAATTTTAAGTGATTTTTCACTTAATTCTTTTATTAGTCTAAGTGTTCATCTGATAAACACTAATCTCATATATTTAATAAAGGACAATGATTATCCAAACATATTTTCCTCCCGTGCTCTAACATACTATTTGGATAGAAAATAGTAAAGGGAAGGGAAGGGAGGGGAATGGAGGAAAATAAAAGGAAATGGAGGGGGAGGAAAAGAAAGGGAAGGGAAGAAAATAGAAGGAAATGATTTGTGTTAATTTTGTTTGGATAAATAAAAATGAGGAAGGGGAAGGGAAGGGAAGGATTGTATTATTTTATATTTGGATAATTAAGGTAAAAGGAAGGGAAGGAAGGAAAAGATTTAAATTAATTTTAAATTTACAAATTTATCCTTTAAACTTGTAATGGAGAAGGATATAATAAAAAAATTAAGGTTAATTTTGTAATTACATTTAATCTAATCTAAACAATCACTCAAATCCCTCCCAAACCCCCCAAATCGGGCGGATTGCAAATTTACAGATTTGAGGGTGGTTGGAGGGAGTCCGAATCAGTCCATCTCCCTCCCTCTCTGCTTCTTTGGAAATCCAAACAGGAGGAAGGAGACAGCCCCCCCTTGCTCTCCCTCCCTTGCCATCCGTCCCCATCCCTTCCCCTCCCTCTCCATCCCCATCCTTTCCCCTCCCTCTCCGTCCGACACCTCCAATCCAAACAATACCTTAAAACTTTAGGGTTTTGGAGGCAACAGGTTTTCTCCTTTGGGTCTCTTTCCGTTTGTGGAGCCTTCTTCCTTCCCTTCTACAAACAGCCATATCCCTTTCCTACTGCTTACATCTGTGTCCTTCCCTTAAGTTTCTCTTTTTCTTTGTTTTCGATACTCTAAAATAGGGGAACAAGTACAAATTGGATACAGGGGGCTGCAAATCTAGTCCTTGGTGGTGATGGGGTTGACAATTAATTCTCCTTTATGCTGTTGGTTGTTGGTGTTGATAGGAATGGGAGATGATGAAATTAGGTACATGCTTATTCATGTCCGTTTTACAGAAGTTGGGGAAGGCATCCTTCCCTTGCATTCAATTTGGAAACCCAAGGCCTCCAAGGTAGAAAAATTGTGTTTAGTGTGGAAGATCCTTTCCCGAAATAAGATCAATCTAAATGGTATCCATACTACTTTAATGGTTTCATGGAACCCGTGGAAGGCTTTCACAATATCTGAGATTTGGGTAAAAATCTCTCTATTTTAGTTCTTTGCTAATTAAGTATCAATTGTGGATGGATAGAGCATTGTAGTGCAAGAAGACACTACATCGCCAAGTCCACTTATCTCCTATGCTAGGTTTGGGTGGTACAATAGATGTGATTGCCAAGAGCATTAGTAAGCTCCAATGCATTCTTTTTATGTTATTACATAGCTCTATTGATCTCTTTATGACATATATTAATATTTAGAGGTTTCCAGTTCCTAATTATCATTATTTGTATGGAACACTTAGCTCTATATATTAGTGTCATAGGTCCATCCTAGCTTTTCTTTTCTTGCTCAGCCTATATGGTAAGGTATAGTCTACAATGTAATTGTCTTTGAATTATTAATACAACTACATTCTCAAAAATAATAATAATAATAATAAAGGATAGTGATTGGTATACATTCAGTTCAACACATTTTTTAAAAATCACAATTTTTTAGTTTGAAGTTAAAAACATATAAGTTTAAATATATAATCATGCATACAAAATGCAAGAATCGGTTGAATTGACTGTATTTATATTATATTTTTAATGGTTGAACTAGAAGTGTGTCATGAAATGTGTTAAACTGAGTGTGTACTAATCATTTTTCATTTAGTAAATTATCTTGGTTGTGAGTCTTCAATTTTTATTTTCATTTATTTTATTTTTGATAAAAGGGAAATAATTTCTATCAACATCAAAGGTAGGTTATATTTGCCAGATAAATATGGAAATGCCTAGACCAAATTAAACCAAGTATCCATATACAGAGAGCATCCCAAAATTGACATGGATTGTCGTTCCCCTACCAATCGATCCAAAAAGGCACAAAAGAACAAGTCACTTTCGAACTGCCCTAGGATATGATCTCCTCAAATTACCATTAACATTGACCAACAAACCCACAAGAGGTTAGTAGTAGGCCTAAAACCTAAGGCTCAGCATTGGGTATGAGTATATTTGATATTGGTGAGTAGTTAACTTATCTAGGTAAGTATTTTACTTGTACTTGAAAATATCAAGTATAAAAATGCATACCTATTAAGTATTAGGTTAAATACTAAGTATGAGGGTCTATACCTACATATTTAATTTGTATATAGAAAATGATATGTGCACTCTTAGTTCAACACATTTTTTTATACACTTTCGGTTTAATTATTAAAAATATAATATAAATATAGTCAATTTAACCAATTCCTACATCCTATGTATATGATTGTATCTTCAAACTCGTCTACTTTTAATTTCAAACTAAGAAATAGTGATTTTTTAATGAGTGTGTTGTACAGTGTATTAAACCAAAGTATATATCAATCACTATTCTTTGTATACCTAACCTATATTTATATATATAATTAATGTTTATCTATTTTACCTCTTAAAAATTAAGAAAAAAATTATTTTAAAACTATATCATTTCAATAAAACACAACGAGAAAAGACCAGATATAGTTTAATAAACAATGATTGGTACACATTTCAGTTCAACACATTATACAACACACTCATTAAAAATTAATATTTCTTTGTATGAAATTAAAGGCAGATAAGTTTAAAAATACAATAATGCATATAAGATGTAAGAATCGATTAAATTTACTGTATTTATATTATATTTTTAATGGTTGAACTGAAAATATGTAAAAAAAAAATGTGTTGACTAAGGGTGTACAAATTATTTTCCCAGTTTAATTCATACTTTAAAATAGAGTATTTTAATCTTTTTCACTCGGAGTTTATTAAAATGACATAGTTTTTTAGAGTTTTTCTTTTAATTTTTTAGAGGTAAAACATATGGGTACTATTCCTTTTATATATATATAAGAGATTTACTTACACACAAATTTTACATATCATATTTATACAAAATCTTGATTATTAATCTTTTCACCTTTAATTGTTGAGATTTATTTCCATTTATTAAAAATAATTATTTATATATAGAGAAAAGAGATACACTTATGCACAAGTCTTACACATCACACTTACGTAAAATCTATGTCATTCATCTCTCAACTTTCAATGTTGAGATTTATTATGACTTTTTAGGTGAAAGAAATAATTATCTTTAATAAATATAAATAAATCTCAACAATTGAACCTGGAGAGATGAATAGTTGAGATTTTGTTTAGGTGTGTTGTGTAAGTGGATCCTCATGTGTATATACACATAAAGAGAGATCCATTTGCATACAAGTTTTACACTCTACACTTACAAAATAGGTGGGAAGAAAACTTTACAAATTGGGAATTGTGTTAAGGAAAATAAATGCTTAAAATGCCACTTTTACCCTCCTTTTGTTATAGTATTAATGTGTAACACTACATGAATAACCTTGTTAAGAGAAAAGTTTAGAAAATTTAAGGAAAAAGTTTTCTCATTACCAAATACACCCTAAGTCGAAAGTTAGGGTCTTTAATTATATATAAAACTAGAGACTAGTTTGTAAGAATTATTAGTTTTGGATTGCATGCCATTTTAGGAGCAGATTAGTGGCTATAGGTGTCTATGAACCTGTTAGTACCAGTAATAGGTGTCTTTTGATAAAGTTTGGCTAAGTTGGAAGCACTAAAAACCCACTTAATCTTAGTCTATAGGAAGTATTCCAGTTGGAGAAAAAGTGGAAGTATTCCAGTTGGAGAAAAAGTGGAAGTATTCTAGTTGGAAAAATGTGCAAATAAAGATATTAACTTTAAATTTTTTTTTTGTATTATTTAAAAATGTTAACTTTTTTAATTTTTAAATTAAGATACCAACTTTAAAATTTTTATATTTAAGAATATCAACTTTCAACTTTTTCTCTTTAAAGATCCTAACTTTCAACATTCTGATTAAAAAGTTCATTTGCTACATCAACATCACCATTCAATTAAATTTTAAATAGAAAAAGTTGAAAATTAGTATCCCTATTTAGAAGTTGATAAAATTAATATTTTTAAATTAAAAAAATAAAAAAAATTGATGTTTTTATTTGCATCTTTTTTTGAATTAGTTGCTTATAACTGATTAAGCTACTTTCTATATTTTCCCTCTTAGCTAGACCAAAGGGGAAGGAGAAAAAAGTTGCAGATGTGCAGATGGGCAGACCTTGAGATTCTTGAAGAATTATGTCAAGTCTAGAAATTAGAACAAGTGTATGTGATAAGTGTAATTCTCAATTCTGAGATTAAACTAACAAACACATTAAAAGAAAACGTAAGTTAGAAAGAACATGAAAGAAGAAATTGAAGTTAATTATACAATTAAAGGACTATATAACATAGGTGTTGGATAGAAGCAAAGAAAAATGATGAACTAGAAACAAACTATTCTAAACCTAAAGTCTCCATTGTAAATCTGTACGTGCGGTGGAGATTGTGATTTGAATTAGTATGTTAAGATTTGGAAATTTAACCTGTGATGTTCCTACAATTCTATGATGTGCTTCAGTTTTAAGATAAACTTCTTATGTTCGTCCACCAAGTTTTAAATCAGTTTTTGTGCAAATGACTTAATTGTGCATATGCTAGGCATGTATTCTACTGATTTTTCTGATTATGTGAAGTTTAACTTTGGACATATTCTTTATGTCTCTAGATGGAATATGCTTCGATCTGCAATTGCCTTAGAAAATATTGAGTATTTAATTTGAACCCTAGCATAGGTTTGTGAGTTAGAATGGTGAACTAAAGGACCTTTGCATATTAAATAAGTGTTACAACTAGCTCCAACACCTAAATGTGAGTGCATACATAATTTTAATAGACTCCATAGTCTACAAGTTACTTCTATTCATTGTGCTAATACAACATGTATTTTTTGTTAAGACTACAATGTCTTAATTTTGTATATGCAAGGGTTTCTCATCCTATTATTGCTTTAGACATGTCTAGACTAGAAGGCAACCTAATTATAAGAACTATATGAGCAAAATTGAACCATGTACTTAGGAATCTGTATGAACAAAAACAATTTAGGAACTAGTATTTGAATTTTTTTTGCATAAAAAAACTAAGTATAATCATATATACTTAATGGGATTAAGCACATGGTGTTTCATCTGCCATTTCAAAAAGCACTAGAAAAGTTGACTATTAGCACATCAAGTTTTCTTTTTCCACACTAGCTTTTATCTATTTGTTATGACCTTAACTTTAAAATGAAGTAGTTTTCAAATCTACTTTCTAAGTAAGAGTACTTAATTTTTTGAGCAAGGTCCTATACCTGATAAGCTTTGGGTTTTATCAAGGGAAGGATGTTACAAAATGGACAACGAAATAAATATGAAAACTACCAAAAACAATATATATATATATCATATAAATTACTTCTTTCCATAATCTTAGGGGAAGGCGTGGCCTTGCCCCCACAATAATATTTCCCTACATTCTACCTTATAGATAGCTTTACTTTTGTCCTTTGTACAATCTTGACTAGTATGACCCTCTTGTTTACAAGACTCACACTTGATAGGGAGCCCTACTCAAATAAAACCTCCACTTGGAACCGATCTTCAAGACTCACAACAATAGACTCAGGTAGCATGTATGAAGACTATCACCGCAAATCACGAATATCATGGAGAACAAAAAGGAAAGTTAGACAACTAGAAAGGAAAGAGACAAGTTCATGACCAACAAGGAAAGAACAAGGAAGCAGACATCACAAATCAAGAGCAAAGGATTTAGAAATCAAACATCAAAGCAAGCAACGGTCAAGAGATAGCATAATCAAAATAATTAATAGAATGATTTTTCATTATAGTAAATCAAGGCCAACTGCACTAATTTAGGAGTTGAACATTGGTTGTATATGTATATATATTCTTATGTTGAACATGTATCAGACATAGAGAAATATACAATCTCAATTTCTCTTCTTTTAAGCCTTATTAAAGTGAAGAAAGTGGACCACAAGATCAGCATTCATCCACATATTTGGAGAATTCAAGGGTAGCAAAGGTTTCTCCTCCAGCACGCAACATCACCTCCCTGTCAGTTCACCCTATGCAAACTCGCTCCAAAACAGGGAAGCATACAGGACATGTTTAAACAAAATTTTCAAAACATTCAAATACAATGACAACTAATAATCTTTCTATACATATTGTAGGACTTGACATTAAGGAGCCAAAATCGATTAAAACTACTCTTAAAATCCCTCACTGGTTTGCTGCAATGCAAGAAGAATTAGATGCCTTGAAGAAAAACAATACTTGGGAGTTGGTTTCGTGTCCCCCTGGGGCTAATATAGTTGGATCAAAGTGGGTTTTCAAAACCAATTTAAATGAAGATGGTTCCAGTGAGAGGTTCAAAGCACGTTTAGTGGCAAAAGGGTTATCCCAAGTTCTTGGTCTGGATTTTGATGAGACTTTCAGTCCAGTACTTAAGCCCACAACACTTCATCTTGTGATTGCACTTGCTACAACTCAATCATGGCCTTCATGTCAACTTGATGTAAAGAACACCTTCCTCCATGGCGTGCTCAAAGAAACTATGTATATGACGCAACCCCCTGGCTTTGTTGATCACCAATATCCTAAGTATGTATGTCGTTTACACCGCTCAATCTATGGGTTTAAACAGGCTCCTTGCGCTTGGTTTGATAGGTTCACCCTACACCTTCTAAAAATGGGGTTTTATTGTAGCCAAGCTGATTCCTCTTTTTTTGTCCTTTGAAATTCACAAGCCACTGCTATTCTTCTCTTATATGTTAATGATATTGTTCTCACAGTTAGCACAGATGAACTACTCCAACAAATTATTTCAAATCTCAGCATGGAATTTGCACTCAAGGATCTAGGGCCTCTTCATTACTTCCTTGATATAGAGGTAACAAAATTTTCTAGAAGGATTGTCCTTTCTCAAAACAAATATGCACATGATTTACTAAATCGAGCATCAATGTTGGAGGCAGCTCCAATCTGTACACCATTGGCTATTAAAGACATTATTACTTCAAGAGATACTGAACTTGTTGATGCTACATCTTATCGGAGCATAGTAGGAGCCCTTCAATATTTGATTGTTACCAAAATTAACATTTGTCATGCTGTCAATCGAGTTTGTCAATTTATGCAAGCTCCTACTATTTCCCACCTTTACCATGTAAAAAGAATTTTGCAATATGTCAAGGGCACTAGTCAATATGGTATACGCTACCTAGAACACAGCCCATTATCCTTGACTGGTTTTGTGATGTTGATTGGGTTGGTTGTCCTTTCACACATCGCAATACCACAGGGTTTTGCATCTTCCTGGGTGCCAATTGTGTCTCATGGGGATCAAAGAACCAATCGATAATGGCTCGATCCACTACAGAGGTAGAATATAGAGCACTAGCTTCCACCACTGCTGAACTTATGTGGATCACTTAGCTTCTTCATGATGTTGGCATCCCTTTGCACTCACCTCCTCAATTGTTTTCAGACAACATTAGTGCTCTTCATATGTCTGTTAATCTTGTCTTCCATGCTCGAGCTAAGCATATTGAAATAAACTACCACTTTGTCAAGGAAAAAGTCGCAATTGGTGCTCTCATCACTCGCTACATCTTCGACACCGATCAACTCACAAACCTTCTTACCAAACCTTTGCTCAAGCATAGATATAAGCTTTTAAGGTCCAAGTTGGGAGTTGTTTCATCAGCACTCTCCAACTTGAGGGGGAGTATGAAGACTATCACAGCAAATCACGAATATCATGGAGAATAAAAAGGAAAGTTAGACAACTAGAAAGGAAAGAGACAAGTACATGACCAACAAGGAGAGAACAAGGAAGTAGAAATCACAAATCAAGAGCAAAGGATTCAGAAATCAAATATCAAAGCAAGCAACGGTCAAGAGATAGCATAATCAAAATAATTAATAGAATGATTTTCCATTATAGTAAATCAAGGCCAACTGCACTAATTTAGGAGTTGAACATTGGCTATATATGTATATATATTCCACCAACGAGGGATTGGATCAAGTGGTAAGCGGTTTGTTCCAGCTTAAGCAAGGTCTCGAATTCGAGACCTTGTGTACGCAGTAGCCCCCGTTGGGAGACTCACCCACCATTTCCAGGTGTGCGACGCGGGTCGGGTTCGGATTAGTCGGGGCCAAGCCTCCGATACCGGACAGGAAAACCAAAAAAAAAAAAATATATGTATATATATTCCTATGTTAAGCATGTATCAAACATAGAGAAATATACAATCTCAGTTTCTCTTCTTTTAAGCCTTAGTAAAGTTTTTTCAGCATGTGGGTTTTGTCAGCATCTACTTCCACTCACACTCGAGCAAGATTAATGCAAGCTCTCTATTCTGAGGCTTTTTAAGGAGTCGAGGCCTTCCAATGGCACTAGAAATATAGCTTAGGCCACGGGTGGGTCTGTAAAGGGACAAAGGTACACCCCAAATCTTCACCCAAATTTGTGCTTTCATGGGCTTTGTCATGGACAACTCAACAGCAGATGCCCATTTTGTGCGAAGGCAAGATTTTATGTTTGACATGTCTGGAATCTTGGAATTCAATACCCAATTCATAGTCGAAACATCAGGGATCTAAAACAGGAAAATTCCTTTACTCATGTCAGTAACAGAAACTTTCCCCTTCCTGCCCCATATATAATATGTTAACTGTGCGCACTAAATCACCATAACTGAGGGTAGATTCTCCTAGAAAACTCCCAATAGGGCAATATTTGCAAAATTTGATACCCTCTTTTTGAACAGAGCTAGGCAGCTTTACAATCAGTTTTCCATCAACTAATTCAGGAGGATAATAGGCCAAATAAGTTTTACCCTCACTGGGCGTGAATTCCTTTTATATATCATTGGCGACAACATCTATACCCAGGAAACCATGGGTGGCGCAGCTTAAACCGACGCTGGCAATAAATTTTGTTACCAATTTTGGTAAGTGGTAACCAAACTAATAGAGAATGAATGTTGTTTCACTAAAGCGAAAATACAAAGTTAATTTCGCTAACAATTCTACATCAAACACTTGAATAAAATTTCACAATTTGTCAATCAAGGGTAAATTACATAAAGAAAAAGGAAGCCTTTCCATGCTTATTATAGGAAAGGTAAATCTACAAACAACTAGCATTTGCATCTTCTTAATTTACATGTGATGCAATAACAAGCAACAATCTTGTTTAATTGGAACTGAGGAACAATTCCAAGTTGTCCCAATTAGTTGTAAACATCAAATTCATTATTCCAAAAGTTTTGCATATCCACATCAAATAAGTAGCTCTTAAAATTTCCTTCTAAGCTTGCTGATGACCCTTTTCACATGAACACTATCATCTGGGTAATTAAGATAGCGAAACGCAGCTTTTATCACCTTGTTGCACAGGAAAAGTATCTACGCAATCACTCATCATTGAGAAATATCCAAGAAAACATGGGTTTTTCTCAGGTATTGCAGTATCTTCCATGTGGTTGCTGTTGACGGGTGAGAAAACAGAGTAATTGGGCTGGTTTGGGGAGAAAATAGGGAAGCGGGGCACTTGCTCATTCTCATTTAACTTGGGTTCATAAGTTTGGTCAAATGTGATGTAAGAATCCTCGAGAGGTGGGAGAGATGAAGAGCTGCCTATGTTGTCATAACAACCTCTGCCCAGCTCAGGTTTAGCCGCCACCACTGCCGGGCCTTCTCTGTTCTTGTAAAACACTCGACACAAGACCCAATCCCCCTACACAAAATGATGGACATTGATTAGCATGCTCTCGGTTAAATATATTGTATAATATATTTATTAAAAAATTATTATTTTTGTTTAAAATTAAAAATAAATAAATATAAAAATACAACTAAATATGTAAAATACATGTATCAATTGAATTAGTTTTATTTATATTATATTTTAATAAATAAATATCAAAAGAAATACATCAAACCGAAGATATACCAGCTATTTTCTTAAAAGGGTATCATATTCAAATTTTCTCTATAATAGTGACGGCTGAGACGCAAATGGATAACAACTTTGACTAAACGAAAAGACTAAAATATGGTATATGATTAAAAGAATGATTAGAGTTTTTTAGCGGACTGGAAAACAATTTGTAGAAAACGTTTAGTAGTATTCTTGCTCCATTTTATTTGTTATTTTTAAATGATAATTTTTTTATACTATTTGTAAATGATAATTTAAAATTTTTAAATATATATTTTAATAAATAATTTTATTTTATTAACAAAATTTTACTAAATTTTTATTTATATAAAAATACATGTAATAACAAATAAAATATAAAAAAAGTAATAAAAATAAAATCTTACACAAAGTAGCAGAATTTTTTATTCCCATATGGAATAATATCAATTAATATCTATTCACTTGCAGGGCGTCATGTGCACACTATGAAATTTATAATAAATTTTTATGGAGAAAGTATTTTGTAAATTGTCTTTTCAAAAAAACTTTTAGGGATATATCTAAAAATTTATATTTTAATTAATATTTTTAAAAACCAACATTTAGATTAAAAATTTTGTTCATATGAATCATGTATTTTCATATTAATCTAGTAGATCTAACTATTTTATTAATATATTGTATAAAATTTAACACTATTAAATATATGTTAATAAATATAATTTTTTGGATTAAAGAATTATATTTATTAAATTAATATTAAAATTAATATACATAATTTATATAAATAAAATTTTTAATGTAATAATTAATTTTTAAAAATATTAAGTAAAATGTGAGTTTTTAAATAGATTCTTTTAAAAAAATTTTAAGAGTACAGCCATAACTATAATAATCCCATCTTTATTATAGAATAATTAGAACCATATATTCGTCAGCTAGTAGCAGCTACGGGACAACAAGAATTGCTAGCAAGAAATCTTACTGACATAATATTAAAGAGTAAAAGGGCAATGAGTTAGAATTTATTTATAAATAATTTTTATACATTATTTATATAAAATATTAATTATTTGTCTTTTTTTTATGAATAATTAAGATTTATTATTACTTTTAAAGTTAAAAAATAATTATTTTAAAAAAATAAAAAAATAAATAAATAAATCTCAATTATTTATAGTAAAAAATGAATTATCATAATTATTATAGAAATAAGAACAAAAACAATTTTAATACTATTAAACAAATAAATATTTTTAGTTACTCGTGTTAAAATTTCTTTAAACAAATTTTTAATTTTAACTTTTAATAGTTGTAAAGTTTATAAAAATATACTAAACAAAAGTCTAAATATGTTAACTTTTTAAATGGCATGTTTGTATTTGGGAGGCTATATAAGTGAGTATATATACCTTGAGAGTTGAAATTCGAGGGAGAGAAAGGGGTTCAAGCCTGAACTCATGCATGACCCAATTGGTTTTGCTTCCTTTAGGTGCCCTACCTTGGTAGAACACCAAGGTTTTTCTCGAACCGACGAGGGTGCCCTTCTGAAAGATAGGCTTGTCTTTTCCAGTGGCCTTCCAGTACCCAGAGGCTGTTGCCCGGTTTGTTCTGAGTCCGATTGCATATTTCCGATCTCTCTGACTGTAGAAGTACCATTCTTTGCCTCCAACATTTGCTGTTTCTGCCAATATTTCTCCAAATCAAACAATAATCAGCACAATTTTAAATAATAAATTAATAGTATGTTTAGTTTGAAGAAAAAAAAAAAAAGCAAAAAAGATGAGTTTTTTTAACTAATCAAGTTATAATATTTATAAATATTATAATTTAATTCATAAAAAATATCTATATCCCTTCTCTCCTA